TTATCCCTTTAATAAGGCGGCGAAGGTAGACCGAGTTGTCTTAGGGTTAGTAACCGCTCGTAGCTACTATGTGTATCTACGATACTTAGAGATAAGGTCTATTATATTCTTATTATAGAAAGACCCTTCGTTAATAAGCCTTTAATAGATTGGAGCCGCGTACTGCGAGTTATGCTAGAGGAGAGGTCTAAGGAATGACCTAAGGTCTTGTTTACTACTAACGTTAGGTAGGTCGACTGCTCGAGCTTTAAGGATGGTCTCTTCCTATTAGGTAAGCTATCTATCGATATTCTAATTAGTTGGCGGCTTCTCTAGTTGCCTTAACTAGTTTAGTAGAAGGTCTTATTATATATCGCGTAAGGGCTGTAGCCGAGCCTATAGTATACGTAGTTAATTATACGGGTACGTATCTACTAGGTTCTATAGCAGTAGCTATAGAGAGAAGCTAATCGAATCCTTGATAAGCGAAGAGATATCGTTGATATCCTTAATATTGCGATTATACTCTTTCCTATCCTCCTTGTAGAAGTCGTATTCTAGCTTCTTAGCTAAAAGCTTAGCTGTAGAGCTATCGTTTTCCGGGGCTAATAGCCTCGGTGGCTTTTTTAGTTGTTTAGGAAGAGTCGGTTAGGTTAGATCGATAAACTTAAGGACGTTAGCCTTCTTTACCCGTGATTGGATAATAAAGTACTATTCCTCCTACTCGTGTAAGGATTTAAGGACGATGATTGGCTTAGAGGAAGCTATCGTGATTATGTGGCGTTATCGGACCGACTTAGTATTTTATGCGACCGTGCCAGCGAGTCGGTACGGTGCTTCTACGGTAACTTAAGAATATTAGCGCTAGCCGAATTCGTGTATTTAATGCAAAGAGTACTCAGCTTGATGATTAATGATAATGCTGATGGATAATAGCAAAGTGTTGCTTATTGGATAATATATAACTGGAAACGTGTCCTTAACAGCGAGGAGTGCAGACGACGCTTAGATGCCTTAAGACGTTAGTATTGTTTTGTAGATATGCGCTTAGATAGTAGAAGGCATCAAACGCATTTCCGGGCTCATAACTGTTGCAATGAATGGGGTTTCAATTGATAGCAATGAGTGGCATGATCTTGTTAGGAGCCCGGTAGGCGGAGTCCTCTTATACCCTGTGCTAAATGACTAAGCCACAGAAAAAGCAATATAAACTGCGTACACTTCAACACAAGCTATCCAAAATTTCGTGCTCCAGTGCATGATCAACGTACATGCGTATAGACTCCACTGTCTCTAAACTCCCTTTACTCACAAAACCAACACCAGCCTACCAGTCTACTGCCCCCCCAAAAACGCCTCCCAAGCCCCAGCCAACAAATCCAACTCGCCCACATCGCGCGTAACGTCCATCAAGACATGGCCCTCAGCCCAGCCCCTGACGCCCACGCCCCCATCGGCATAAACCCGTACCTCACCCCCCTCAGCCCCCTTAACCCCGTCCCACCCCGGCTCCTCCCCCCCCACAAACGCCACGACGTCCCGCGCAAACGCCCTCGCCACTCCCCTAACCTCCTCAGGCAAGAACTCTTCAAAATTGCCAAACACCAAGGCCACGTCCAGAATATGCGTCGCGTGGCCTTTGAAGGGGCCCTTCCACGGATTGCGCACCTCGAACGCGTAGACGTGTGCTTTTTCCGCCAAACCCGCGCCCGCGTACGTGCGAGCAGGCGCCGCGAACGCCGTGGCGCTGCCGAAGGCTACGATGCGCTTTTCGGCCTCATCGCGGGCGAGGTCGGGTGTGATAGCGTAGGCGGCGAGGAGGTTGGAAGCGAGAGCGGGGGTCGAGGCGAGGGAGGCGGAGACGGAGGCAGTGAAGGCTTGGGCGAGAGAGGCAGCGGAGGCTTCGAAGGCGCGCGGTGCGAGGTAGGTGAAGGCGTGGGCGTCGGCGGCGCAGGAGCCTGTCAGGAGGTGCTGGCACCAGGGACGGTGGGGAGGGGGTGTGAGTGCGGCGAGCGCGCGCAGGCTGGTGGGCGCGGTGACGGTGGCGGGGTCCTGCACGGGGATGAGGGAGAGTTCGTCGGGTGTTGCGGCTAGCAGGGCTTCCATGGGCATGGTTCTAAGCAGGGCGATGCGCTCGGCGGGCGTGTATTTGCTCAATCCCAGCTCCGCTGTCACGGCCCTGTAGGTGGCTTCTGCCTGGGCGGGCGAGCGCGGCTTGCTCAGGAGCGGGGTGCCGGACATGGGGATTGCGCGGCGGAAGAGGGGGGAAGTGTTGTGCAGGTGGTGGAAGATGGACGCTGTGGGGCGTGTTAGTCGAGGGGACTTGTTCTCTGCTTTGGACGCGTTGGTATGGGTGTGGGGAGGACTTACCGGAGCCCGCGCTTTCGCCCATTATTGTCACGTTTTCCCCATCGCCGCCGAAGCCCGCTATGTGCGCTTTGATCCATCGCAGCGCGACGGCTTGGTCGCGCAGCCCGTTGTTCGGCTTGTATCCGGCAGCGCGCATTTCGGACGAGGTGAGCATGCCAGTGATTCCGAGGCGGTAGCTATACGGAAGGCATGTCAGCTCGCATGACCATTTCACTTCACCCATATCATGTTGCTGGGCCCTGCTCACCCGATGTTGACGCCGATGAACGGCTTGTCAATCTCCATGCCCAGCTTGACCAGGCGCTTGAAATCGTACGCGGGGAAATAGTTCCCACCGAAGAGGAACCCGCCGCCGTGGATCCATGCTAGAACGGGTAGGCCTGCTGCTGGCTTTCCGGATACGCTGGACGGGACCGTGATGTTGAGGTTTAAGCAGTCCACGTCCGACATGACTGGGGCGGGGTCGGGCTTGGGGAGCGAGTGTTGGATTACCTGGAACTCAATGTCCATTCCCTCAGGCGGAGTGACCGGGTACGGTCTAGACGCATGTTAGCGCCGGGGAAAGCGTTGTCGAGTTCAGGTGAATCGATGAACATTGCTTCTAACGTGCTTTTACTTGTTGTGGAAGGACTGCTTACCCGTATGCTGTAGCATCAAACACATCTTCGCTCATTGGCCCCGTAATCATCTCCGCCTCGGCAAAGCGATCCTTCAGCGACGCATACTTCACGCCGAGGTACTGCGTAACATGGTCGACAGCCTTTCCGCGAATCTGGCCAAGAGACGGATGCTGAATCGTAGTCGTCATACCTAGTGTCGTTGCTGCAAGGTTTCAGAAGCGATATCAACAAGATCCAAGCAATATAGAGGAAGACGAATCACAGGATAGGAACCGAAGATCCCAAAAAACAGTAGTAATGGATGGTCAGCACTTCCAGACAAACCACATTCAAATGAGGAGAAAGAAACACAAAACCCGAAACCCAAACAGAATAAATAGCAGAGCAGACAAGGACGCGACAGCGTGTCCAGCGCGGCGTTGGCCGCGGCATTTTCAATCGCATGATCGCAGTGTGTGCGCGCCCAGAAAGAACGCAGGTCCCAAAATTACCCTGTTGGGAAGGCGGGCGATCACGTGAGTTGTCTGGCGCCGACGTGGTCTTCTGGTGCCGCAAACCGTCTCTTAGGCTGCGAAGGCAGGTGTTTGGCACCTAAAATGCGTCTTGTCGGCATGCGGCATCAATAGATAATGGCTTTTGTTTGACATGGCGGGTTTTCAGCATCGCCTTCGGTATCTTTTGCAGCACGTTTGCCGGTATTGACTAGGTTGTGTGCGGCGTGTCGGGTGTCTGGCGAAAGGCGTGCGTGGTTTGTGGCTGCATGGCAGAGCAAGTGAGTGAGTGGGTGACGAGAGGTGAGTGATATTCGGACGCGTGCTTACTTTTTCTTCTATATTTCCGGTCCCCCAGCTCTTCAATGCAGCGAGGACCATCAACTGTAAAAAGCGGAATCTGGCGTCTCCATTAAGCAGCAAATCGATCAATCGACGACTCGCAGACGTGGATTGAAAACACCAAGAGGCGACTCGTAAAAGAAATCCGGACCAAGACAGCAGACCATCCAGCTCCATCACAGCAACCAACGCAAACCCGCCACAACACCCATCACCACCATCACGCAAAACCACTGCCCCTCATCCCCATCCCCACAAGAATCTCACACTCCATCTCACACCGCCTCCGCCGGCAGCTCCAACGGCACGCCCTCCATCTCACCCACATCCAGCGCGACCAAAATCCGCGAAACCGCACAATACGCGGCCACCGCAACCGTCAGCTCCACGACGGCCCTATCGTCAAAAAACCCCTTCAGGGCCTCAAACACGTCCGAGCCCACGCGGCCCGCCCCCCTTTCCATCGCATCCGCATAGCGCAGCACCGCGGCCTGCACGCTTGTCAGGACCCTCGCCTCGCCATCCTCAACCCCATCCCCCCTTTCCTTCTCCTCCCCTTCCTCACCCACCCCCATAACCACATCCTCACGCACCTCCTCCCCTTTCAGCACCCACGCCAGGACGCGCCTCCGCACGCCCGCTTTCGCAGCCAGCGCGCTATGGGCGCGCCACTCCCAGGCGGCGCCCGTGAGCGCGCCGACGCGCGCGATGGCGAGCTCGAGCAGCTCGGGCGGCACGGTCGTGGCGCTGCGGATGGCGCCGATGAAGGCGTTGTAGCCGTCTGCGAGGGGGGGCGAGTGCAGCAGGGCGAGGTCGAGCGGGATGAGGGGGCGGGGGTGGCGGCGCTCACGGATGCGCGCGTACGTGTCGTGGGTTGAGGGGGGTGCGGTGGGAGGGGGGGTGGGGGGCGCGTAGGGGAGGCGCATTTTGGTGGTGATAGCTGTGGTGATAGTAATGTGGTGACGATGGTGATGATGATGATGATGATGATGGCCGATAGGTAGGTAGTTGTATGCCGTAGGTGTGTAGTTAGGAGTAGCTAGATATACACTTCGCTGCAAAGTTCAAAGTTCAAAGAAAGAAGAAAAAAGGTTATGTTATGTACAAATACTCGTTCCCACGGGTGGTAGCTACATACATTACGCTACCGACCCAACGAGCTAGTGCGGGGTAGCTCTTCGCTCTTGGCTCTTGCAGTCAAAGCCGACGCCGTTGCCGACGCTGGGCGCCTCGGGATGACGGCACGGCTGCGCAAAGGAAAAGAAAAAACGAGACTGCTGCTGCTGCTGACGCTGACGTGCCCAAGTGCGGGCGGGTTTCTTTGGGTTTGTGGGGACCGGCAGATGCGCGCGGCAGTGGGTTGGGGGCCGGGTAGCTGGGTAGCTGTGTTGTGAGCAAGATTATGTCAAAGTAATAATCGAAGCTCATTTTGTTGAACGAACGAGCAGAACTTCATGTCGAATATTAACAGTGTATTCAATTCAGATATCAACCATGCTCGCTATAAACACACTGCCACCTAAGCCCAGGTATCACAGCAAACAAAACGCCCAAAAAGTATTTTACTTCATAAACAACCATCGTATCCTCCTCACAGGTTCGCCTGCGTCGACGTCGTCTGCGACGTCTCTCCCTTGTGCGCCTTTGGTGCCAGGAACACGTTGTACTCGAGGTCGAGCTCGGCCTTGGGGTCGTCCTTGCGCGGCTTGAAGTCGACGACCAAGTCGGGCTTGACGGCGAAGACGGAGTCGTCGACAAGATGCGGGTCCTCCTTGGGGTAGATCTGCGTGATGACGGGCTTGTATCCCTCATGGGTGATCATGAGGTGAATATGCGCCGGACGCCAGGGGCTACGGTCGAAGAGGCGCAGCAGCACGCCGGCCGGGCCATCGGTAGGCAGCGAGTAGGCCGTGGGCTTGAGGCAGTAGAAGTGGTACTCGCCGTTGTCGTTGGTGCGGAACTTGCCGCGCAGGTTGTTGTCGACCTGGTTCTCGGGGTCCTGGAAGTCGTATTTGCCGTTGGAGCTGGCCTCCCAGATGTCGACGACGGCGTTGGCTATGGGCTTCTTGGTGTCGAGGTCGATGACACGGCCGTGCATCAGCGACACTTGCCCTTGGTGCGGGCTCTCGATGATGCTGCTGCCGTTCTCACGGAAGGGTGCGTTCGGGCTCCAGAAGGGCCCGAGGATTGTGGATGACGTGGGCGCTTCGCCGGTCTCGCTGAGGTGCTTGTTCGCGATTTCGTCGACGAGGCTGGTGCTGTTAGTAAGGGTTCAGCTGGCACGAGACTACAGCGAGAACTCACGATTCGAGGCCAATGATGTCCGAGATTCGGTGCGTCTCGTTCCGCTTGGCGTCGCTGATCTGGCCGCAGGTGTTGATGAACTTGACGCCGGCCATCCACTCGTCGGCCGTCAACTCGACTTCGCGAGCAAAGTCGTGAATGTGCTCAATCATCTTGCTCAAGACGAAGCGAGAGCGAGGAGGGCACGCGGGCCCGATGGCTTCAATGACATTCTTGGTGAAGTCAGGATCGAAACGGTTCGATGACATGGCCATAAGAGCGGTATTGCGGTGGTGTTCAGCTGTGAGAGAGGAGAATAATGGGTGACGGAAAAGAGGCTTGCACCGCTGCAAGCGGCCGGCAGGCCTTAAATAATAAGGAGAGCATAATCGAGTCGCCGTCAGTCGTGGGAATGAATGCCGTCGTCGTTGCCGTCCCCGCAAACTAGGGCCCCGCGTTGCTGCCCCTCGACCCCACCGGCCTTAACAACCTCGCCCTGCCCATTGGCTGCGCGCCCGCGACCTCTCTACCGATGACAGCAACCGTCCCGGCCATTGCGTCGCACCCACGCACTTGGCCCACGAGCGGCTGAGAGACCTGGCACTTGATGCGCGCGAGCCTCGTCGCATGGAGCTCGACGCGCCTCTCCTGCCTGTCACTGTTCTCCACACCACCCGCCAAAATGCCAAAGCACCACCTCATGGTTGGCACCTGGACACGGCCCGGCGCCATCTTCACCTTTGAATTCGATGACGACGCCCTGTCGTTGCGCCTGCTCAAGCGCAGCGAGATCCCTCATGACGAGCCCATCTCGTGGATGACCTTCAGCGTGGGCGCCCTCGGCTCCTCGGTAGCACGGATCGCGCTTACGCTTGCCGCAGCATGACAAGAAGCAAATCTACGGCGCGTCGATGAAGACCTTTTCCAGCTACGCTGTGAAGAGTCCTACCGATATTGTGCAGAGCGGTTCGCACCCCGTCGCTGGTCACCGTACGTCTCCTCCTGTCGCGTCGACGCGCGTCGCGACACCGATTGACCTGACCCCGCCATAGCCCGCGCCGCCGACAAAGACACCAACACGCGCGCCATCTTCGTGCTCGCCGCGCACAAGCCGCCCTATAATGTCTACGGCAACCCCTTCTACGACTTTGCCGGCTGCGGCAACGTCTTCTCCGTGAACGCCGAGGGCGCGCTGGAGAAGAACGTGCAGAACTACGAGTACGAGCCCAAGACGGGCATTCACGGCATGGTCTTCGACCCGACCGAGACATATTTGTACTCGGCGGACATGTACGCGAACAAAATCTGGACGCACAAAAAGGACGCGCAAACGGGCCAGCTGGAGCTGCTGGGTGCCTGCGCCGCACCCGACCCGGGCGACCACCCGAGGTGGGTCGAGATGCACCCCAGTGGAAAGTACATCTACGTGCTCATGGAGGCGGGCAACAATCTCGCGGAATACGTGATTGACCAGCAGACGCATCTGCCCGTGTTCACGCACCGCACCTTCCCGCTCATCCCACCCGGTAGGTCAATCGCTGATGCGGTGTCGCTACCCGGAGACTGACTTATTTGAAAGGTCTTCGCTACAACCTGAAGAATTTCCGCGCCGATGTCGTGACCGTCAGTCACAGCGGGGAGACGCTTTTTGCCACGTCGCGCTCGAATACGATCGGTGTGCCGGGCTATATCAGCGCCTTTAGTTTGTCGAAGAACGGAAGCATTGAGAGGCAGCTGCTGTTGAACCCCACGTCGTCGAGCGGCGGCCACTCGAATGCGGTGGCGCCGTGTCCGTGGACAGATGAATACCTTGCCATTACGGACGACACAGTGGGCTTTATTGAGATCTATAGGTGGACAGAAGGCTGGCTGGGCCGAGTAGCGAGGTGCGAGGTGACGGAGCCTGGATTCGGCATGAATGCCATCTGGTATGATTAGGTAGAACTCAGTAGAGTAGGAGCACAGGAGCCCTGCGGCACAACGGGGTTTGGGTCGCGAGGGTGGAAATTGTGTCTCAACTACCTATGATACTGCGGGGTCGTTGCCGACGCCGTTGCCGACCGCGGGGCAGGCAGCGACGGGAAACTGCATCATCGCGTGCACGGCCCAGTGCAGATGTACAAAAACAGTTCCAGCCCTCCAACTGTGGAAAAAACAATCCAAAGCCACCAGTTCTGTAATCAGCACATCATGGCGCCCGTTCCTGGCCTGCTGTACGTGACGATGCAGCCGCATGGCGACCTGCCAGCCGAGGAGTTCCACGACTGGTACAACAACGAGCACGGCCCGACGCGTCTACGCCTCCCCTTCGTCACCAACGGCTTCCGTTACCGCGCCACCGATCTCGGCGATGCAGGCGCCGGGTCCAAGGACATGCCTGAGTGGATGGCCGCGTACGACATCACCGACAACAACGAGCTGAACTCCGACGCCTACCTGAGACTGCGGGGTCCGCCGGTCAAGTCTGAGCGCGAGACCAATGTCATGAAAAGGATTGACGTCGATAGAAAGTGCTTTGACGTTGTCTACGAGCAAGCAAGAGACGGCTATCAGAATCTGGAAGACGCCTACGCCGAGGACGCAGACCGCGGTGTTCTCGTCGCCGTCAGCGTTCGCTGCAAGCCTGGCCACGGCATTAAAGAGCTAGTGAAGTTTTACGAAGAAGAGCACGTCCCGATGCTCTCCAAGGTCCCTGGCTATCGGCGCTCGCGCTGCTTCAAGACGTCGCAGATCGTAAAGGCCTTGTCAGCCAAAGACCAGGCCGAGCAAGCAGACCCGGAATTCCTCTCGCTGCACGAATACGATACCCAGAACGGCGTGGGCACGAGCCCAGAGTACAAAGCCGCATCCAGCACGCCTCGCTTGCACAAGTTGATGGATGAAGCCGTCAGCGCGTTCAAGCGCCGTACCTACGCCCAAACCTACACCTTCGGCCCCGCGCCGCGCTTCCTGCACACCAAGCTGCAGCCCTTCACCTCCCCAGATGGCGCCACGAAAACGCTCCCAGTAAACGGGCCCTCCCCCAGCGCCATCGAGTCCTTCGTCACGACCCCCGACGGCGTCGACCTCCCCTACCGCCTCGAAGGCTCCTCCTCCCCCCACGCTCCCCTCCTCGTCCTCATCAACTCCGTCCTCGTCGACTGGCACATCTGGGACGCCTTCCTGACATCCCTAACCGGCTACCCCGCGTTTGCGAACTACCGTATCCTACGCTACCACGCGCGCGGCCGCTCCTCCAAAACCATCGGCACGCAGCCCATCACGCTCGACCTGCTCGCAGCCGACGTCATCGCGCTGCTCGACGCGCTGCGCGTCCCGCGCGCCGCCGCCGTCATAGGCGTCAGCCTCGGCGGAGCAACGGCCCTGAACGTCGCGCTCAAGCACCCCGACCGCGTCACGCGCTTCGTTGCCTGCGACACCAACGCCGCGGCGCCGGCGGGCAACGCCAAGGCATGGGGCGAGCGCATCGCGGTCGCGGAAGCGGAGAGCGCGACTGCGGCGCTGTATGGGAAGGACATTGACACGGTGGCTTCGGGCGACGAGCTCGTCGTCGGCACGCGCTTGGCGGAGCTGACTGTGAAGCGCTGGTTTGCGGGCACGAGCTGGGATGGCGGCGACACGGAGAGACGGTGTCGAGAGGTGCAGGTGGCGGTGGAGCGCAATAGTCTGGCGGGGTTTAGGGCGGTGGTGCAGGCGCTGTTCAAGTACGATTTGTGGGACGAGATGAAGAGCGCGAATGCGCAGGGGACGTTTTTGGCCGGGAAGGAGGACGGCAAGGTCCCTGTGGGCATGAGGGGCATGGCGGAGGGGTATGCGGGTGGGAAGGGCACCTTCTTCGAGATCGAGGACGCGGGCCATCTGCCGATGGTTGAGAAGCCGGATGATGTTGCGGGGATTGTGGCAAGGGAGTTGGGGTGGGTGTCGAAGTAGGAGGTGCCTTGGTCGGTTGTACGCTTTTAGCAGGTTAGAAAGCATCAGGTGTGCAAGGACATACTCAGTGGCATGTTTGCTGTACAAAGGAAATGCATCGGAGGAGTACCGTGCCGTACAGTATAGGTTACGTGGTAGAAGTCAGCCCTCCGGGTCGCTGCCCTGTCGCGCCTTGTTCGCTAACAGCACAGCACGTGCAGCCCGCAAACGGTTTCCCCACACCATCCATCACTCCACCAAGCACTTTCATCCATACTCGATCGCAAACTCACCAAACGAGTGCAGGTTTCGTGGGGGATTGGTTGAAGATTGGAAGAGCTTGCTTGCTTAGGTAGGTGCGTGGTGCTAGGAGCCTACGGCGGTACAGTTGGACATTTTGGGTTTGGGATGGCGACGGATGGGACGGGCATGGTGAGGGGGTGGGGGTGCGTGCAGGTGTTTGTTTGCGCTTTTTGGTTTGTGAAGCGGGTTGGGGTGGATGAGAGAGAAGAATACCTAGGTAGGTATGTCCCTCCCTACCTGCTACGCGCACTACCCCATCCCCGCACCGCCAAGCCAGCAACCCAGCAACCACCCGTCCCCCGTACTACTGCTACCCGCTACCGCTCCGCTTACACACACACACACATACACACTCAAGTGCCCGCGCAGCCCCGGCAACGTGCAGCGGGGATACGGTTGCTTGCGTCCGGGGGTGGGTGCGGTTGGTGGGGTGAGTAGGGATGAGGATGAGGGTGAGTAATGAGGGTGGGAGCAGTGCGGTGCTTCTCGTGCCGTGCGGCTGCGTAGGCATGGGTAAGTGAGTGGGTGCGTGGGTACAGGGCGGTTTGGTGGCGGGGTTGTTTGTGGAGTGTGAGGCTGACTGATGGCTGTCGATACGGAGAGGGAGGCCTTGTGTGTAGGTATGCGATTGAGGCTTTGTGGATTGAGGCTTTCGAGACGCGACGAGCAGACTTGTGACAGTCAGGCAAGTCCTTCCCACCCGCTCACTAATCACACCCATCGATCCGATCCGATCCAGCCGCCGCCGCAACCGCCTTACCTACCTACCTACCAAGCAGCCGTTTAAACCTACCCCTCGACCACCAATCCTCTGACAAACTGCCGCTCCGCATCCCGTCTCCACCCCATCCGATGGCCGCACCGCAACCCAGTGGCTTAAGCGCCAGAGGCTACCAACGACAAAGCTTCCGGCAAGCCTAGCCAGCGCCTAGGTAGCCACCCGCGCTCGAGCTCAGCTCGTGCTCGCAAACGCAGACGCGTGAAGAAAGAGCCAGAGCAGTCCGCAGTCCGTGTAGTACATGCGCACGGGCAGGGATTCCCCAGACGCGACTCGCTTGCTTTCTGGGCTGGGGGATGTGCTCAGGGATGCGTGCAAGGGTTCCCTCGCTCAGGGATGCTGCCAGCTACTACCGTCTCTTTGCGTCGACGTGCATGCTGAAAGTCGGAGGTTGACAAACGCAACCCCGGGCTGCAGAGGGCGTATGTAATTCCCCGGCCCAATCAAGGGCGGGGGATGTGCCCTTGCGGTTACACTTACGGTTGCACCTGCGGCTGCACCTGCGGCTCCTCGAACGGTGCGTGTTTCAGTTTCGAAAAAGTCACGGCAAGAGCATGGGAAAGCAGCATTTGGGAGAGAAGCATTTGTTATTGAGCCGCTCTACAGTAAGCCGCTCCAGGCCCCCCCGGGTTTTGTTTCTGCCCCACCGTCCACCATTACCGCCGCGTCGCCCCCCCCTTTCAACCAACGGATTCGATCACCAATGGCTCTGCTGAATGTATTGTGCATCTCCTATCTGACTCTTTCTTTGCATGGGCCTGGTCTGGTCTGCGCACTTGCGGCTGCGTCTAGTACAAGCCGACAGTGATGTCACCCCTGACGCGGGCGGTGAGGTGGATCTCGGCGTCGAGGTCGAGCTTGATGCCCAGCAAGAGAGCGGCATCCTTGGGCTTGCCGTCGGCGTCGGTGGCGCCCTTGAGGAGCGAGCCTGAAGGTTGCTCGTCAGTCAAACCGCTCGCTGGCCATTCGAAAGGCGGGAAGGAGGAAGGTCTTACCGGCTGGCTGGCTCAGGCTGCCCTCGCGGGTATCGGGGTGGTTGGGGCGGCTGGCCAGAGCGACGCTGGACTTGGCGCGGCGGCCACCGCGTGCCTGCTCGTCGGAGGTGTCGGAGGCGTAGGCGGGGTTGTCGAGGGTGGTGCTGGGATGTGTCAGTCACTGAAGAGATGGTTGCTTGTCTGGCCGCCTGCTGAAGAGGCGGAAGGGAGAGCGTACGGGTTGGTGGTCTCCATTTCGGTGGTTGTGGTGGGGAAAATGAGGCTGAAGCTGGTGATGGTGGTTGTTGTTGTGGTGGTGGTGGAAGTGAATGTGCTGCTGAGTCTGGTGTTGAAGGAGGAGGATTCGAGGCTCTTTATCTACCCTCGGCGGCCAGAACTCTCTCCGCCCTTTTCGGCAGCATCAGAGGTGGTGTCCCCAAAGGCCACAGCGGTGTTGCTTTTCCGGGCCTCGGATGATGCTCTGGTAGCACGCTGCGTGCACAATGAGTTGTCAAGCAAATGCTCGTGGATCTGGGGATGTGCGACCAAGGGTGATCTGAGGATCATCCGACATTTCTGGGCCCGGTTCCGCGGGCGTGGAAAAACGAAGGAGCACGATCGGCACATCTCACTGGCGCGGTCCGGTCCGCCGCGCCATAGCGAGTGGAGGGGTTTTGCGGAGGGCCAAGGTTGCTGCAACGCCCACTTCATCATGTCAGGCCACCGCTCGCCTCAGTGTGCAACCTCCTGTAGTGTACCTGGGTTTCTGTTCCTGGCCTCACTTACGCAACCATCGAACGACCCAACGCCCTCCGTCTGTCCGGCGGCTGCCCACAGGCTCGAGGTTGCTTTTGCAGTGTCACCGCTTGCCTCGGCTCCTGCACTCTGCTTTACCGCCACTTGGCCCTTCGGCCAACCCTTGAAGAGATGGGCTGTGAAATTTGCTCAGCGTGTAACGCCTTGCTCTCGGCACGGCATTCCTGCGCGCGCGGCACCCGCTACTGGCTCTCTCTCCCCCGTTCTCTCTGTCGTTGTCGCCGCGCGTTATCTCACTCTCCTCAATTTTTGCCCATCTCTTTCTTTCCCCTCTTCTCCTCTGTTCCCCATGAGCCTGTCTATGCTCCTGGCCCTCACAGCTTGTCCCGCAATGTTGGGCACGCAGGAAGCAATCCACCAAGGCCAGGCCAAAAATCGCCGTGAGGAACATCGCGCCCGCAGGTGCAACCTCATTGTCACTTGCGTCAAGGTCTCGCACCGAGCCTCCCAACTCAATGGCAAGTTCATAGCCTTGAAGAATGCAAAGGTTGGTATCTACGTTCTCTTCATAACGGCAATGGCTGAGTTTCGTAGCTCTATATAAGCAATGGCGGCGAAGACGAGCATTTCTTTCACGGCTACTACCTCCCCTACCCGGACACCAAATACGAAGGCCTGGTCAGTACCATCACGTCCGTGGCGCCCATCCTCAACTGGATCTACATCGACAAAGACACGTACGAAGTCAAGTACGGGGTGCGGGACAGCGCGCAGCCGCACTTAACAGGGCCATTCGACTGCACACGGCAAGACCGACGCCTCACGTTCGAGGAATGGGAGGGCTTCGTCGCCGTCGAGGAGCAGCCCGGCCAGTGGGCTCTGTACTTTGACCGCGACGACAACGGCTTGCGCGGCAAGATCCAGCCGGGCAAGAAGTCCCTCGAGGTCACATTGAAGCGCATCGAGCGGAAAAAAACTAAGGAAGACGCGGAAAAGGAGAGGGAGCAGGCCAAGGAGTTCAAGACGCTGCAGCTGGCGCAGAAGGATGAGGGCATGAAGCCGGAGGAGCCGCAAGCTAATGGCAGCGCTGACAGTGCTGCTAAACGCGCCGCTAATGGCGCAGCGAACGGGTCCGCTAACGCCGCTACTGCTGCCCCTCCCATTCCTGCTCCAGCTCCTGGCCTTGAAAACGGCATCCCTGCTCTCCCTAAAAATGACGGCCCGCAGCCTCCTCCCTCCCCGCTAGGCGCCTATTTCCCGGACAAGGACGGCGTGCACGCAGTGCCCAGAACGCCGGCGCCCACGCCAATGGAGTCGGCCGAGAAGACGCTTGCTCCGATCTTTGAGCCTGCCCCGACTAAAGACGCGAAACCCAAAGTCAACACGCGTTCTGAGCCTGCGTCTGGGCTCAAACGCGCTGGAAGCTCGCCGAAGAAGGCTGCTAGGAGTGCGGAGGCTGAGCCGGGGCTTAGGCGCTCGGGGAGCAATGCGAAGAAAGCTGCTGCTCCTACGATGGAGGCTGGGCTTAAACGCTCTGGGAGCTCGGCGAAAAACCCTACCGCTCGCTCTGAGCCAGAATCGGGACTCAAGCGCTCTGGAAGCTCCGCGAAGAAACCTGCTGCTTCTGCGCCCAAGCCGGCTCCAGCATCAGTGCCCCTCTCGTCCAAAGCCTCCTCATCAGAGCTCCACCGCTCCTCGAGCGCGAGCAAGAAACCCAGTACCACGACAGCCAAAGCCGCAGCAGCAAAAGCAGCAGCAGCAACAAGAACAGCATCGCCCACCAAGCTATCCCTCCCCCCCAAAGACGCTTCACCATCACCGCACCCCTCACCCTCCGCCTCCTCCTCATCCAGCACGCTCAAACGCGCAGCCAGCACCGGCAAAAAACCCTCGTCACAAACCAAACTCCCGCTCTCGGCCTTGGCGCCCAGAGAATTCAAACACTCGGTGCGCTCGGAATCGGAGCCCGGCGGCGGGCGCCGCAGCACCGAGTTCTCGGTTGCGTACTCGTTTACGCCGACGACGGTGCTGGATGCGCTGCAGGGTAAAGGGATGGGGAAGGGGAGGGAGGAGAAGAAGATGGAGAGGCGGGTTTCGCGGAGGGGGAGGGGGACGGAGGAGCGTGTGGAGCGGAAGGAGGAGGGGAAACGTGCAGCGGGGCTTGGTGAGGAGGTGAAGACGGATCAGGTAAGTAAGGCGCAGAAGGACGAAGGTAAGTCCAATGCGGAGGGCAAGCAGCTGCCGCTGCAGCCTTATGTTGAAGATGTGCCTGATGTCGAGGCGGGAGGAAAGGAGCAGACCGGGCTAGGCGAGGGGGCGGGTGTGCTGATGCGGGAGGCGGAGGCTGAGGCGTCTGATCTGCCGCTGCGAGAGCATGAGCAGCATGAAGACTTACACCAACCTCGTGAGGAAGAGGCCGAGCAAGCTCGGGAGCCTGAAAAGGCACAAGAGCCCACGGAGGTCCGGGAGTCGCAGCAGCCCGCGCCTGAACAGCCTGCGGAAAGAGAACACAAGGAAGCTGGACAACAACAACAACAACAACAACAAGCACCCCCACCCCAACCCGACACAGACAACATCAACCTCACCAAGACAATCGCCTTAAACGGCACTTCGCAAACGACAGCAGCAGAAGCAGACGCCACCGCCACCGCCACCGCCCACGCCGCCGAGGCTCTGGTGCAGATGCCGGCGCTTGAGAGGCCCGAGACGCTGCTTGGCGATAGTGTTGCTAGTAAGAGGGGGCTGGAGGCGCTGGTGATTCCTTCTGCATTGCCTGAGCCTGCGTCTGAGCCTGTGGCTTCGCCGCCGCCGGAGCCGAAGGAAGAGGCGGGGCGGAAGGTGGAGGAGGGGGCAAGGAACGTGGAGGCAGAGCCAGTGGAGGCGGAGTCGAAGCCAGAGGCTCCGGCTACGCCTACACCTACGCCTACACCTACGCCTACGCCCACGGCCTTCCGCGGCCAGCCCCTCAAGATCGCCACGCCGGTGTCTGCGCAGGGCGCTTTTCCGAGACTGTTCTTTAACGGCTGGCCTGGTGCTAATGAGTCGCCTTCTCACCCGCAAATCGAGCCTGCTGCAGCGACACCAGAGTCCATCCACACGGGCAACACACCAACCGGCACCACGCCGACCCGTCCCTGCGACTACGACGCCTGGAGCAGTAGCCCCCCTGGCGGTGGCACCGAGGGCTCCGCTACCCCGCTTGTGCATACGCCGGTGGGTACGACGCCGAGGAAGAGCGAGGGCGCTACGCCTACCACTGCTATTGCTGCTGCTGCTGGCGCCACCACCGGCAACGCTGTCACTGCCGCGCCTGCTACGCCTACTGCTGGTGATGCTAAAGCTGGAGCTGTTGAGCCCGTCAACGCAGACGAGGCCATCGACGCCGCAGCCGAGCAGGACACGCCGTCGCGCAGCACGTTTCTGAACGGGCACGGCATCGGCGGCGGCGCTGGCGAGACGACGTCGTGGTGGGCGGGGGGGATCCCGCATACGACGGATCACGCTGCTGAACTACAGCACGCATCCTCACAGCCGCTGCATGGAGCCGAGCAGCAGCACCCATCCCCGACGCCAACCCTCCCTCCTCGTTCTTCGGAAACACACCACGCCACGAGCACGGCGAGCGTGCCGTCCACGCCCGCGCTCTCGACCGCGCAGTCCTCGCGCCCGAGCACCTGGTACGAGAAGCCGGCGTCTGTGGTCACGATGGCGGAGCCAGAGACCGAGACCACGACGGCAAGGTCATTGTCGCTGGCTGAGCAGCGAAGCAGTGTTGGTAGTGAAGGGCTGGGTTTCGGTAACGAGAGCGGGAACGGGAACGGGAACGGGAACGGGATCACGAAGGGGGAGTGGGGGCTGGGTAAGAGGAAGGGGCGCAGCGTCAGTGGTGAGGTTGTGGGTGGCGAGAGGCTGGATCTGGGTGTTGGTGCGGGAAGGAAGAGCACGGAGAGCGGCAGCGGGGTTTCTCCAAGGCAGAAGAGTGGCTGGCGCGCTGTGCTGGGGGAGAGGCTGAAGGCTGGGGCTGGAAGGGTCAGTGTTAGGAGGTCGGCTAGTGGGGGGAAGAAGTAGGTGGTTGGGAATTTGGGGTGGGGATGAGAGTGTACGCTTGAGATTGGATTGAGTTCGGTGTAAAGTTACTACTTACTACTCACTCTTTCTTTAGTGTTTTGTCGTTCGCTCGTTTGGGGTTGGACTGGATGGTGGTGGACGGCAGTGCTTACCTTACCTAGAAGTACACGCAGGCACGGCTCGTTTGAGAATTTGTTGTTGCTAGGTATTACCATCACTACCACTACCACTACCACTACCACAGTCATTTTCTGCTCGAAGCTCCCGCCTCCAGCCGTTCTCATCACATCCTCTTCCGCCTTCAGCACCCTCTTCACTGCACATACATACATACATACATACATACACACCTAAACAGCCACCCACCCACACACACACCGCATCCACCCTCCATCCTCCGTCCTCCATTCTCTGTCCTCCGCTCGTCCGCGGCCGTCACCGCTCTTTCCCCCCTCTCGCTGCCCCTCTGCCTCTACTTTGTCTCGCCTCGCCTTGCCTCGCCCCGCCTCGCCGAGCAAAACAACCAACCAGCCAGCCAGTTAGCCAGCCACGCAGTCACTCGGCCGAAGCACATAAGCGCCGGGACGCCTTACACCCGCAGTCGGGGGTCGGGATCGGGGACTGCGGAACGGCTTGCGCAGCCTAGTTAGTTAACTGGCATCCCGCCCGCCCGACCGACATGGCGGCGCCGCGACGGATAAATTAGCGCTGGGCCTAGTGGGTGCGGGGGTGCTTTTTTTGCTTCTGTGTTGTGTTCTTTTTCCTGTTTCCTGTTTCCTGTTGTTTTGTGGGGCGCGTGCAGTGTGCAGTGTGCGGTGGGTGGGTGCGGGGGAGGTGCGCCAGGGGTTCTTGCGCTGTGCGCGCGTACGTGGGCGCAATCGGGTCGGTTCATGTGGTGCGTGCTGTCTAATGCGGGCGGATGGGCGGTCGGTTTGAAGATATGCAGCGTAATGCGGGGTGGGGTGATTGGGGTTGTTGCTTTTTCTGGGGTTGGGACTGGGGGGTTGGGGGTGGCGGTGTGGATGTGGAGGATGGGTAGGAGGTTGGTTCGCGCTGTTGGTGTTGTCGTGTATGTGGTGGTTGGTTATGCTTGTAGTGGTGGTGAGTGTGTTGGCGGCTGCTGCTATTGATGGTGGTGGAGTCCAGAGGGCCTGGATCTGCATCGCTTGCTGCAGGGGGCTAAGACATGCGGGCCGGGATACGATGCGCTGCGGGGATTCGGGTAGGAGAAGTTTATTTAGGGCGCGTTGTGCGGGGACGTTTCTTTTCGGTGAGTAAAGGCGATTGGTTGGGTTTTGAGTAATTTCGTGGCTCTATACAGATTACGCTGATTCTTGCTTAATTACTATGATATTGGCTTCTGGGGCTTCGCTCGGTTATAGTTGACGATTATGCCGTGTAAGAAATGCCGGCTATAATAATACTTTTATGGAATTCTAAAGTTCTGGTGGCGTGTTTTTCAGAAAAGTAGTGCCCGCACATGTTGGCACGTCTTTTTAGTGAAGCTGAGGTCTGGAGCGAGACTTTTGTTCGTTGATTGCGCTAGAGGCTGCGTGATGGCGTCATGCAGCAGAATGACATTTTGAGTGTGCCTTCATACTTTCCTAGGGACCTTGGTATGCTGCTGCTGCAGCTGGGCTACGTGTCTAGATTGTAAGTAAGTGGCATACAGCGTACGACACCCGAGTTTCGGAGCTGAGTTAGAGTTACTGTCCACGTCTTCCGCCAACCAGAGGTTCGGAGATCACACCCGAGCTTGAAAAAGCCGAATGATTACCTCGATAGGTATACAACTTAATTGTCATGACTGATCGTACTCGGGACTTGTAGTCTACAACTTTCGAAGAACCACCTTGTTGTATGGCCTGGTAGAATTTTAAGATATGACGCGTTTGACAATTCGTGGGTAGTCCATGATTTCCGCCCCTGTCGAAACACTGAGCAACACTGCCAGCTCAGAGCGACATCACTCAACACGCACCACATGCACCGTTGCAATGTCGTCCAAAGGAGACGTGGACCGACTGTTCAGGGCGGACAAGTGTACCGGTAATCCAACTTTTCCAAGCCCAGGAAGTTGGTTCTTGCAAGCATTGAAGGAGTTGCCAGGAATTTTTCAGCCCTTGTCACACCCGGCCAGATATACCGAGCCTTCGATTAATTAGCGCGAGAGAGCTTTGGGAATCAGGGCCAGGGTGGCTCAATAAACCAAATATCGAAGGGTGCTGCCAGCATCTACATGCCCATGGGCCGATGTCAGTCGATGTGAGGAAGCACCGAGTGTGATTGCCACCGCCGTCCCTTTCAGATGCCTTGGAAGCAGATGTGACGGGTCGCAGGACACATTGATTACATATGTGTCATTATATCAGGCAATCAATATATGGTTAGCCTCGCTCTTGTCCCTTTCTAGCCTGTTCACAACCCGGGGAAATTTCGGCGATGTTGTGCCTCCTCCTTCCGGAAATCACCTCACAGATTGCCTTTTGTCGACGAACATCATTTTTGCCAGTCAAATCCCTAATCCTGGACAACCGTCTCATGACCTCTTTCACCTACGAAAAACTTCCTCCCGAAGAGGACTCGCCATGGATTCGCCTCGCTCACTACAAACGTCCTCCCGCAGATGACTCGCTATTTAATCGCGATCGCTCCGCGAACTATGTGGAAGAACCCATCAGTCTGGAATTGAAGGTGCATAAACTGAACGAGTGCCCTGAGTTTTCTTTTTGGACGTACCTTTGGGGCGAACATTCCGACCAAAAGACTATTACGTGCAATGGCGCCTCTTTCTCCATCTCCGCAAGCCTCCACTCGGCCCTATCCTTCCGCAGTGTTGACTTCTGGGACACGCAGTGGGACGAGAATATTACCGCGGTTTGGGCTGAGGAGCTCTGCATCAACCACCAAGACATCCAAGAAAAGTCTGCGCAGACAGCATTGCGCAGTAGGATCGCGACACGTGCCCATTTCAAGCATGCGTGGCTGGGTCCTTGGACCCGCGAGGTAGAGCTCGGCCTCATAATGACATCGTATATAGAGGAACACTTGCATCCCCGTTATGCGTGCTTTGGTAGCATGCCGCACCATGCAATTGAAAAGACGTGGATTGACGCGTTTACTCCACTGGATCGTCCCGGCAACCCCCAACCCATTGAGAGGCGCGGACGCGGCGAGAAGCACTACAGCTTTTACAATGCTCTGTTGCAAATGTACACTGCTCCTTTATTCACCAGCATATGGGCTTTGCCGGATATCGTACGAGCGGTGCCGAGGCTTCGATGGGGCGAATTCCAGTATGGAGATTATTGTCACTACTCCATCGCACACGGAAGCGTACAGCCACGGACCCCCGCGACAAAGTCTTTGCTTTACTGGAACTCACGTCCACCGACGTGGAAGCCTACGGCTTAAGAATCGACTACGACATCCCGCTCAGTGAGCTCTACATTAACACCGCATGTGCCATCCTCTGGGAGACACGAAACCTCGACCTCCTCGAACTCAAGCACGGCCGCTCTTCCATCCCACACTTACCCTCCTGGGCCATCGACTGGAGCGACACGTCCGAGCAACCCATCCCCTTCACGCAGCGCCCGGCGCACACGCGCTCTCTAGCCGGCACAACGCCACTGCACCGCCTCGTCGGCAGCCTAATCGCACAGCCCACCGTAAACTGGGACGACGTGCTCTTCGTCGAGGGCAAAGCCCCATCCGAGCCATCCACCCCTTCCGACACCCTCACCTTCACAGCCAGCGGCAACCGCTCCCTCTCGCAAGTCCTCCAGCTCCCTCCAGCCCCAACCCCAACAAAACTCACCCTCACCGGCCACGCAATTGACACCATTGCCGCCCTCGCACCCGCTCTCATCCCGCCCCTCCTCCCCCCTTCAACTCTCAACGCTTGGGCCAACGCCTCCCGCGCTGACCTCCTAGAACATAACCTCCCGGCCATAACCGTCTTCCTCGCCCACCTGGCCGCCTACCTCCGCACTCTCCGCGCTTGGCACCGCTTCGCGCTGCACCACCCCAAAACCAACAATCCCGCGTACGAGCCCGAGCCTGAATCCCCCTTCCTCGCCTACATCGACACCATCACCGCCGCCGCTTCCCCCACCCCCACCCCCACCCCCACACCCCATCACGCCCACAACTACGCAGCCTTCCTAACCGCACAACGCCGCGCCCGCGCCCTCGTGCACAGAGACGCCCTATCTATCTCCCCACCCGGCCTCGCCACGCTCGCAAACCTCGACAACAGGTGCTATGCCGACGAGCGAGAGCGCGCCGCCGTCGCGGAGGCAGAGCGCAAGGCTGCGAAATGCGCGGGTTGGGCTAGGCGGTGGCGGGGGGTGTGGGGTGTGTTTGGGGGGAGGAGGGGGAGTGTTGGTAATGCTGGGGAGGGAGTGGATGAGGTCGTGGAGAAGGCGGTTGTGGATGGTTATGATGACGATGAGAAGGAGGAGGAGGAGGAGGAGAAGGAGGAAGACGACTGGAGCAGTGAGAAAAAGGGTGTGGATTATGATTATGCTTCGCGTGTGAGCAGTGAAGTAGACGAGGACGAGGACGAGTGGGACGAAGAACACATCAAAAACAAGAGCGCCGACGCAGACATAGACATATACACAGACGCCCAAGCCACCGCCTCCACAGCAGCAGCAGCGTTCGCATCCGCGATGCGCATGGCGCATCATCGGCGGCTAGCGCGCACAGCACGGGGCCGGCTGGCGCTGGTGCCAGCTGCGGCAGAAGCAGGCGATAGCGTCGTGCTCGTGTGTGGGGGGCGGGTGCCGTTTGTGTTGCGTGAGGTGGGTGGGGTAGGGGAAGGAGGGAAAGAGTGGATGCTCCTAGGCGCAGCGTATGTGCGGGGCGTCATGGCGGGGGAGGCGTGGGATGAGTGCGCTTGTGGGGGGTTTAGGGTTGTTTGATGGCGCGGTGGGAGTGGGGGGTGTAATAAGAATAGTAATTTGTACAGTACAGTACAGAACAGAACAGAACTGTCGAGAGAGTAGTCTCTCCGCTCGCAAACACGCGCACACACCGCCAAAGCATCTGGCTTTGGCAAACAATTAATCAATCACTCTTACATCTCCAAGCTCTAACTAGGAGATATAAAAAGAGATCAGGCCAAAGCATCGTACGGTCTATCCTCAGTACAGCCCAATCTCTCCATGAAAGTCTTTAAATAAGTTTCACGATCTAGTGGATCCCAAGCCACTATGGTATCCAAGGAAATGAGGAAGCAGACAAGCTAGCTAAACAAGCCACAACACGTCTTAGAGAACATAACTTCCTACCCTTAATACCGCTGCAAGTTAAAACAACTCTCGAAGCAGCATATAAGCAATAGAATAAAGAATAGAGAGCGTTAGAGAAAGGCTAACACCTCCGCAACGTAGATATAGCGATTCCGGGACTATACGTAAGGCACCTCTACGACAAGCTCCCACGTAGCCTAGCAGGGCTGCTAGCCCAGTTAAGAACTAGCCACTACTAGCTCAACCAGCACCGAAAACGAATAGGACGGATAAACAACGATAAATACGAATACGGAGATATAGAATCAATATCCTACGTATTACTAGACTATTCGCTACTCTAGGAAAATCGGTAAAAAATGTATTAAGAAACCGGACTCCAGAGAAACTACCTCTCTAGCCTCCTAGGCGGTAAACCAACAGACAAAAACCAGCCTCACACGGAAAAGAGGAAATAGACAATTTCAGCCGCTCAACTCAAAAGGG